GAATTATCTTATTTTAGAAAATATAAATTATTAATATAATTTTTTTTTTAGTTATATAATATAAATATAATAATTTTTATCTTAATTTAAAATTTAAGTTTTATATATAAAAATACAGTTTAAGATAACAACATAATTCACAAGAATTATCTTATTTTCTAAAAATATGATATATTCATATAAATTTGTTTTATTTATAAATAAATTATATATAAATATTAAAAATATGATAAATAAACAAAATTACATAAACTTGTGGAGAACATGACAAGTAAGCAAACACAAGAATTATCTTATTTTCTAAAAATATTATATATTCATAGAAATTTGTTTTATTTATAAATAAAATATATATAAATATTGAAAATATGATAAATAAACAAAATTACCTAAACTTGTGGAGAACATGACAACTAAGAAAATTTACTTCTTAAATAATAGAATAGATATGTGGTCAAATACTAGATAAATCTATTAAAGCCTAGTTTTATCGGTGAAATTCTAACAAATATGTGGTCAAAGAAAAAACAAATGTATCAAATCTTAACTAAATCTGTCATAATTAAATAAATATGTGACTAAATGATAATAAATCAGTCAACTCAAAATTAAATATGTCAAGAACAAGTAAATATATGGCTAAAGAAAAATTAAATCTATCAAAACTTATGTAAATCTGTGGCCAAATAAATTAAATCTTGCAAAATTTGATAAGTTTGTGGCTAAACATGTCAAACTTGTTGTAACAAATCTGTGAAATTTTTATTAAGTCTATAATTTTTTAAAAAAATCTGCGGCTAAAAAAATATTTTTAAGTTTGTGGCTATATAAAATGTGAGATAAATAAGTCTGTGGATGGTAAAATGTAAATATTTAGAAAATTTAGTAATAACATTTTCGTAATTAATTTGTTTGTTAACAAAGAAAATATGGGTAAATTAGGTATGAAAAATAAATTAGTAATTAAAATAAAATTAGAGTTAAACTAGTAATTAATCGATAATTCAGGGTTAAACTAGTTTTTTCCCTAGATTCAAAACTGTATACGTATATATATAGGAGATTTGGCAAAAAAAAAACTTATATATAGGAGAAGAGCACAATTACAGCGATTACTTACAGATATTAACTAGAGAGATAAATGTGATAGAGTATGTACAGGAGTGATATATGGGATTTGAGAAATGCTAGATGATACAAGTTTCCTTTAGCAGAAGATTCTCTAGCCGAACAGAACTAAATGTCGTGTATATATATTTCTATTTCCCTACACATAGTTTAACACAAACAAAATAATATGGCTTCTTTCTTCTTAACAGTTTCACTTCTCTTTGCTCTATCCTTTTCTCCTCTTGTTGCGTCACAAAATCCAATCGATTCTTGCTGGCGTACAAACCCTAACTGGGAACCAAACCGTCGTGACCTAGCCGGTTGCTCGGTGGGATTCGGCAAATACGCGGCTGGTGGCAAAGACGGGTCTATCTATGTGGTTACAAGCTCACAAGACGACCCTGAAAACCCTAGCCCTGGAACCCTACGACATGCCGTGATCCAATCTGAACCTCTATGGATCACATTCGCACGTGACATGGGCATAGTGTTGAAAAACGAGCTCATCATGAACAGCAACAAGACCATTGACGGAAGGGGAGCAAGAGTGGAGATCGCGCACGGACCATGCATCACGATCCAACACGTGAGCCATGTCATTATACATGGTATAAGTATCCACGACTGCAAACCGGGTAAATCGGGTCTGGTACGGAGCAGTCCTGATCATATTGGTACGCGTCAAGGATCGGACGGTGACGCAATCTCCGTGTTTAATTCGTCAAATGTTTGGATCGATCATTGTTTCTTTTCTCGGTGTCAAGATGGTTTGGTCGATGTGCTTCATGCTTCTACGGCTGTTACTATTTCTAACAATTACTTCACTGAGCATGATAAAGTAAGTATTTATAACTTTACATTTCGTTTTATTATTATTAATACATATGAATATTGATAATGGTATTTCTGATATTTATGAAGGTGATGTTGCTCGGGCACAACGACAACAATGTGGAAGATGAGACTATGAAAGTTACAATTGCATTCAACTACTTTGGACCCGGTCTCATCGAGAGGATGCCTAGGTATATATATATAAATATATTTTACTAACGAATAAAACTGAATGAGATTAGAAAACGCTGACGTGGAAATACGAATGATGTCGACGTGGCAGGGTGAGGAGAGGATATGCGCATGTAGCAAACAATAGATATGATAAATGGGAAATGTATGCGATCGGTGGGAGTGCTGATCCAACCATCTTCAGTGAAGGCAACTACTTTGTTGCTCCTGATGACCCTAGCAAAAAACAGGTCTCTTCGCTTTAAATTTATTTATATTTAAGATTTAATGATTATCCCACATTAAAACTAACATCATATATATGTATTCATTTTTGAGTGGGAAAGCTTATTTAAAAAGGTGTAATTGTTGATATATATAATATATGTGAAGGTGACGAAGAGATTAGAGAGTGGAGATGATCTTAAGAGTTGGAAATGGATATCTTCGAAAGACGTTTTGCTGAACGGAGCTTACTTTGTGTCGTCTGGCAACGGAATAGGCACGTCGTTGTACGTAAGAGAAGAGGAGTTTCCGGTGTACGACGGTTCTCTTGTCCCTAATCTTACTTCTTCCGCCGGTCCCCTCAGCTGCTACTACGGCAGGATCTGCTGATTAAATGCTCTTCTCAGGATCTTATGTATTTTCCTAGCTATTTATTTTTACCCGTTTCGAATTCAAATTATATTGGAAGCTTTTCTAGTTATGTTTTAAGAAGATATGGAAGTTCATGATCATGTGAAGATTGATACCTTGCCTTTTCCCAACTCACCATGAATTATGGAAACGGTCAGAATAGTATACATTTTAAATTTAGTTTGGAAACATAAGTTTTTGAACTTTAGTTTGGTTTGAATTTAATTATGTAAAATGCAACAAAAGATACAAAACTCTTTTATACCAAACTTGTAGTATACACAAAATCAAAGATGAAAAGAAAAAAAAAGACAAAAGGAACGAAACATAAGAAAAGAAGAGTGGACTTGTGCTTTTGCCTTTTCCTTTTGTTAAAACATGTTTTAATGCTATTAGAAAATTCTGTTGTCATTGCTTTGAACTCCACAAGTGACCGGAGCTTTGGCTCTCACTTTCCTCAAGTACCAAAAGACTCCACCCCCAACGCCAATTGCTCCGGCAGCTGAAACCGCCGTCACCGTTCCTGATAGAGACAAGTTATTCAGTTCATATCAGATCAAATCTCACAAGTTTTAATAACTCGAGAATAATAAATTCATATAGTTGACTAATAAAATATCGTTTGTATTAATAGTAATCTTGCTTAATTACCTGCGACTGCGCCAATGCGTTTATGCTTTACAAGGTTAGAATCTGCCCAAAATAATAAAAAGATATGAATATATGTACTAAATTGTGTGATTCAGAATCATATATATATTTTATAAACAATTAAAATGATATCTTTAAATTGTGTGATTCATAATCATATATATTTTATAAAAAAATTAAAATGATATCATAAAGATATATATTAGTATTAGTTAGAAAGAAATACAAGTAAGGATTGTAAAAGAGAGACTTTACCATTACAGTGAGTAGTGACATTTCCTTTTTTGCAAAGACACAAAAAATCCCTCGTCCTCGTATCAAATCCACAAACCCCATCACCTTTAGTGGTATCTTGGCAAAGAAGGCACTTCATAGTCACCGGGAACTCGAAATCAACCCTAATCCCATACTCTGGAAACTGATCATACGGTGCATTCCCCGCACCCGTACTCCTCCAGTACACACTTGTATACGTTGCGCAGTTCTGCAGCATCAGCCTAAGAGACTGAGTTGCTTTCGGGTAATAAGAGCAACAAGAAACCCTAGAACCTAACGCTGATCCACACTCAGGCAAATGTCTACATAGATAGCTCGAGCTATCGCATGACGAGTCACATCTATCAGGAAACCTCTCGCAGAAGAGTGGTTTAGGTTCAACGATCACTTTCTCGGAGTCGCAGTTGAAGAACAAGTAGTCGTTCTGAGGGGAGACAGTGAAGTGTGTGCTTGAATCTATGCTGAAAGATCTCGTGGGTCGAAAGTTATCTCGGTCTTGACAATTCCACATGAATGGATCAGATACAAGAAGGTGTGGATCAGAGTAGCTTATGGACTTAACAGGGTATTTACCCGATGGTGTTCTGAGTTCAAGCTTGGTGTTGTTGTCGGAGCAAATGAGCATGTGTCGGTAATAAGGGCTGCCGCAACCATCGTCGATGCCAAAAGGATAGTTTATTGGAATGTCACCACAAGAAGATCTGCAAAGATTTGATTGGGATGATGTTGTTGATGATTGAAGAAGGATGTTTATGGAAATGGAGAGGAAGATAGAGTAGGAGTGAAGTGGAGACATTATTTAGAGTTATGTTTTTCCTCTGAGTTTTGGGAAGATCTTAATTGGGAGATTATAATTTGGTAAAGTGAAGTGTTGAGTAAGCTTGGAATGTCTTGCTAAGGAGTTTAAGAATCAACCTTGTCATGTGCTTTTCTATAGTTGTATAAGGTTTTATCTTTGATGGCATTAAACAAATAAAAAGAACACCACATGAATGAAATTAAAGTGACTAAATATAAGAATCACATTAGTTCACAACCTGATATCATTATGTTGGGCGGCTAGAAAGCAGTTCACGGTTGCTATGATCACATTCCTAAGCCCACATATTGTTAGAGAATGACAAATTTATTCGTAATTATCTTCTTTGTTTTATTCTTGCATTTTTAGATTTTACTTAAACTGATAATATCAAAATCGGTTGGGAATATATCACTAAATATATATAGATGAATAGGATCTATCACATATATACTATAAGCCCGTTTTTTCATGATAACTAAACCTAATTACATCAAAAAACAGTGATCAACGTAATTCTGAGATGGAAAACCATGTGAAGAAGGTAATCTAACTGAGTGATGGTCAATTTTGATTTTGCTATCGTAACTATTTCAAAATTTGTTGTTTTTTTTCAGATGGCGTATTTAAAGAAAGTGACACTGGAGAATCAAAAGCTTAAAGAAGAAATGCTTAAACTAACGTGGAAGAATCAAGCCTCACTTGCGATTAACGACGAAATATATGTACGGTAATTAACTACGTTCAGTAAAATCATTAGCTTATACTAATTTGTAAATCTGATTTTAGTGATTTTACGCAATTAGATTTGATTTTATTTTAGTTGGCGAAATTACAAGCGGAGAATCAAAAGCAAACTGAAGAAGTACTTGCACTAATAAAGAGGAATAACGCTCTACTTAGGAAGCAATCCGAGTTATATGAAAAGGTAATAGCATTTATATTATAACGTACATAGATCATATTAATTAACATGAACATGATAGTATGATAGAAACTAATGTATATGTGTAAAATCAGTTCAAAAAAAAACTAATGTATATGTGTATGAGTTTGATCATGTGATATATTATTAGGCAATAGAGGCCCATAAATCTAAATCCAAAGAGACTTATCTTTCGAGCCAATCCATCGACGCCAGGAGAAACATCTCGTTGACAAGTTCGAGAAAGGTGTCAGAAAGTGAAACAAGAAATAGACCTCGATGATTTAAGGAACAAAAAGCGTAATGGCTTATATATTATGAATAGGTACGTAGGCATGGTATTGTCACTTGTAAATGAGTGGAAAGACTTGTGAAATAGCCAGAGAGCAAACCTCTTAGATTCTCATACACATTTTGCTAACTATGAAGTCCCGACTTTTTTGGGTTTCCAATCTTCTTCATGATCTTAGAATATGTTGTTGAGATCTTGCAAGTATCTAAATATATATTGTTAATAAGTTTTCTTTAAGACTTATATAAGACATCATTCTATAACCTAGTACATGCATGTAGTGTAGATGCTGCAATCTAACAAGAAGTATAATCTGTATCAGGAATTTGAGTTTCAAAAAGCCCAATATATTGTTTTGTAGGATAAAAGGCCCATTAAAGAAAACATTACATTGATCACTTTCTCTATATATTGGGCTTAGGGCTGGCAAAAAAACCGAACTCAAAATATGAATCGAATCTGACCCGATAAAAAATAATCTATACTGATTTGAACTCGATTTAAGTACCGAGTGGATCTTGTTTTAAGATATTTGGGTTATAGGTTTTACCCGAACCGAATCCAAACTTAAATGGATATCCGAAAGAACCCGAAACCTTAAAATTCCAAAAAAACTTGTATCATACCCAATCTAAATTTCTAAAAATTTTCTAAAACACATTAATATATTATTGAGTACCTACAATAATTAGTTAGGATATGAATAATTAACTCAAATATTTAGCCTAATATATAGTGTTATTTGGTTAATATTAATGTTTATGATTGACATTACATTTGAAGTTAAGTTACGAATAGATTTGTGTTAAAGTTTAAATAATGTTTTTTTTTAATTTTAAATAGTACTTTTTACGTTTATAGAATTGTTAGTTGTTAACTTTAACTTTTTATGTTTTTATGATTTTCGTTCATACAAGGTTTTGGTTTGTCATTAATCATGATAATAGTTGACAAATTTTATATGGTTGATATACGAGTTTCACAATATTATTTTGAAAAAGAACAATATGGTTTGTAAAAGCTAAATACACAAATTTAATAAAACTATTAAAAATATAGTGAGTTAAATTGCGTATAAATTAGTATTTTTAGAACCCATAACCTGATTAGTATCTGAAACTGAAATTATTTTGGGTCCAGTCGGATCTTGGACATGTTACTAAATCCGACCGAATCTGACCCATACTTTTCTAATTTTCGAATGGGACTAAAATTCATGAACCCAATAACCCAAAACCCGAATAGAAACCTGATTGGGACCCCGATTGCCCAGTCCTAGTTGGGTTTTAGCGCCCTTCCTACCAATACCGTTTCAGTTTTGAGTTGATCACAGTCAACGGCTGAAAATTAGAAGAGCACGTAGCGACTATAAGAGCACCCACATTAGTGAACCCCCCCTTGGGGTTCACAAGTATTTTTTATTGTTTTTATGGTGGGACCATGAATAGTGATGAACCCGGATGAAATGTAATCCTCCATCAATGAACCCGAAGTTGGGGTTCATAGGAATAAAATATTAATTTTTTAAAAAAAAATAGTTTTATTTTTTAAAAATAATTTTTTTTANGTTTGAACCTCAGAACTTCTGCTTGACTCTCCTGTCTCGAACTCAGATGTATCATAAAGAGTGTATGTTTCTCGTTCGTCTTCTACTATCATATTGTGCAGTATGACACAAGTTCTCATAATCCTTCCTATTTTATTTATGTCCCATAGTAGAGCTGGGTTTTTAACGATTGCAAACCTCGATTGCAATACTCCGAAAGCGCGTTCGACATCTTTTCTCGTGGATTCTTGACGTTCAGCAAATAGCTCTGCTTTAGGACCTTGAGGAAGGGGGATGGATTGGATAAATGTTGACCATTTCGGATAAATACCGTCGGTAAGATAGTACGCCATGCGATAGGTGTGGTTGTTGACCTTGAAATTAACCTTAGGAGCTTTACCTCGTAAAATGTCATCAAACACTGGTGACCGATCAAGAACATTAATATCGTTCAGCGTACCTGGTAAGCCGAAAAATGAGTGCCATATCCAAAGATCGTGTGACGCCACAGCCTCTAGGACAATGGTCGGTTTTCCGGAACCACGTGTGTACTGACCTCGCCAAGCTGTTGGGCAGTTTTTCCACTCCCAATGCATGCAGTCGATGCTTCCTATCATCCCTGGGAACCCTCGAACCTCACTAACATCAAGTAATCGTTGAAGATCTTCAGCCGTAGGTCTTCTTAAATACTCATCTCCAAACAAATGTATTATCCCTTCGTTGAAATTTTCCAGACATAAAAGTGCAGTACTTTCGGCAAGTCGGAGATATTCGTCATTTGAATCTGCGGATTGACCATATGCCAGCATTCGTATAGCAGAAGTACATTTTTGAAGTGCGGAAAGCCCTAACCTTCCATGAGCATTTCTTCTTTGCTCAAAGTACGGAACTTCATTACTGAGACGATTAACAATGCGAAGGAACAAAGGCTTGTTCATTCGAAAACGCCTTCTAAACATTTGAGGTGGGTATGTAGGATTCTCACTGAAATAGTCGTTCCACAGTTGGATGTGTCCTTGTTCCCGATTTCTCTCGACATAAGCTCGTTTTCCCGGCTTGTTGTGTAGACCATCCATAAAAGAGTCGATGAAATCGTCCACTTGTTGATCGATTATTTCATCCACAAATTCATCTTCTTGAGCACTTGATGAGGAAGACATTTTTCGTATATCCTAAACATAAAAAAAAGATATAAGAACAATTAAAATCATGGTATAAGAACAATTAAAATCATGGTATAAGAACAATTAAAATCATGGTATAAGAACAATTTAAACAATTTAAAATCATGGTATAAGAACAATTTATATAAGTTTTATAAGATTTTATATAAGTTTTCTAGAGAACAATTTAAATCAAGCCATAAGAACAATATATTTTAAGATTTTGGAGAAGTTTTATAAGTTTTTATATAAGTTTTTATATAAGTTTTATAAGATTTTATATAAGTTTTCTAGAGAACAATTTAAATCAAGCCATAAGAACAATATATTTTAAGATTTTGGAGAAGTTTTATAAGTTTTTATATAAGTTTTTATATAAGTTTTATAAGATTTTATATAATTTTTGTAGAGAACAATTTTAATCAAGCCATAAGAACAATATATTTTAAGATTTTGGAGAAGTTTTATAAGTTTTTATATAAGTTTTTATATAAGTTTTATAAGATTTTATATAATTTTTCTAGAGAACAATTTTAATCAATCCATAAGAACAATATATTTTAAGATTTTGGAAAAGTTTTATAAGTTTTTATATAAGTTTTATAAGATTTTATAAGTTTTTTATATAAGTTTTACAAGTTTTTATATAAGTTTTATAAGTTTTTATATAAGTTTTTATATAAGTTTTATAAGATTTTATATAATTTTTCTAGAGAACAATTTTAATCAATCCATAAGAACAATATATTTTAAGATTTTGGAAAAGTTTTATAAGTTTTTATATAAGTTTTATAAGATTTTATAAGTTTTTTATATAAGTTTTACAAGTTTTTATATAAGTTTTTTAGAGAACAATATAGCTTAAGCTTTTGGTTTATCTAAAATGAGATTTGCAAACTGAAAAAGATATACAAATGAGTACCACAACACAAACCATATTGAGTACCACAACACAAACCTGAAATAGAGTACACGGGAGAGAGGTAGAATACACAAGAGAGAGATAGAGAGAAAGAGATAGACAAATGAAAGACCACACGAGAGAGAGATAGAGAAAGAGATAGACAAAAGAAACACGGAGACATAGTTTATAAAGAGATTGAGTTGTGCTACATTGTTACATTACATAAACCCGTGAAAGAAACATTGCTCAGTGTACAAAGAAACAAAATTGTACACCCTACCCGTGATCTCTCCAAAGACAACAGAGAGGAGAGACCAAAAAACTACCTACCCGTGATCTCTCCAAGGACAACAGAGAGGAGAGACAAAAAACTACCTACCCATGATCTCGTAAAAGCTCACGTGAACCATCCTTCACCAACCAACCCGTGACCTGCAAACAAACAACAAAACAACAAAGTAAATAAGTCACTTTACAAACAACAAAATGCCAAATGAACATATTAATCAAAAACAGTCAAGCAACCTAATTTATTAAACACAGACAATGCAACTCAGATCATTTCTGCTATGAGTTTGTTCTTAAGCTCGATTTCAATACTCGAGAGTTGAGACTCATTTTTGCCTAGGAGACGCTCAAGGATTTTTTGCTTAGAAATTATTTTTCTCTCTGCCAAAATGCTCTCGACTTGGTCAAATGCTGCATCATGCGTGTGCTTCTTCCGTTTGGCTGCCTTGCTAGCCTTAACACCAGGGGGTCTACCCTCTTCCTCGTCAGGTAACACCACCACTGGTTCTTTCCTTTTGTCCTTACCAGCTTCTTTGGCCAAGGATTTCCATTTTTGGTCATGCCTTAGCGCTCTCCAACAATGTTCAAGAGTAAACTTCACTTTGTAGTCCCCTTCAAAGATCACATGGGCCGCCGCAATGAGATCATCATCATTTTTACCACTTCCGTGGTCCTTCACAGCTGCTTCATAGCTTCCCACAAACTTACACACCTCTGCATTCACTCGTCCCCACCGCTGCTTACACTGAGTACATGGTCTTGGAAGGTTGCCACTCAACTGAGGGCTTGAATTGAAGTAGTCTTCAATTCTCTTCCAAAACGAACAGGCCTTCTGCTCATTAGACACTATGGGATCCTTGCTAGTGTTCAACCAAGCGCTAATGAGCACAAGGTCTTCTTTCGTTGACCACTTTCTCTTGGAGTTAGTTTTCACTAACCCCGGAGAGTTAGGCTCATCGTACTCTAAATCTATTGTTGGACTAGACTGGGAAGATTGGGAAGCTAGGAGGTTAACAAACCCGGGAGAGTTTTGGAAGAAAGGATCCATTATCGTTTAGGGTTTAGTTTGTGTGATTTTTACTAACGGATT